ACATTGCTAATGGTGTGAAAGAAACAATGATCACAGGCAACTGAAGACGCAGAAAAACTGTTGTTGGTTTGGATAAACAAAAAGCACTTAGGTAGGGATATCAAGCAAAGAAGCTGCCTACTTACCTCCTGAAAGACTCCCCTCGTATGAGTGTTGAAAGTGATTTGTTTAAGGCTAATATGGGGTGATTAAATTTAAGAAGTGTTTGTTTATGAGTTAAACAGTACATTAAACGTACTGTACTGTCTATAAGAAAGGTTAAAACGGAATCATTTGGGCATCTGAAACAAATTAATTCAATTTACATTTCTAATGGAAAAAAAAATGATTTGGTATTTGATCAAATCACTTCTTGAACAGCCTTCCAGAACAAATTAAGTTCGAGAACCAAGATTCCACTGTATAAATATCCCAGTAGAGCATTACCAATAATAAAGGCACAGAAATCCAATATGTTGGATAGATGTTCTTTGAATTCCAAGTCTGTGACTTGTTAATTTTGGTATCCCTGGGTCTCAGCATACTATCTGGCAGCAAAGATGCTCACTAGATTGTTGCTGAATGAAGAAAATATAAAAGTGATCAATCCTGGTTAACTCAGTGGTGTGTGTGAGGAGTGGGGGCAGAGAGAGCAAAGAAGTCCTGGCATTTTCACTTAATGAGGTTTGAGAGTTTTATTGGATTCTCTGGGAAAGGAGATAAAGGGAGAAGATAAAGGAAGAGTGGTGAGAATTCTTATCTCCTACTTCTATTTACATAGAGGAGCCCATTCACTCACAAGAAAGAAAAACTCATGAGGAAAAATAATCAGCATCATTTGCTTCCTCCCTTATGACTTGCCATCAAAGGAAAAAACAACATATCTGATCAGTGAATTTGGGTGAAGAAATGGAACATGAGCAGATGAGTATACCCTTCTCTTCCTTTCCCAATGTTTTAAATCCAGGATACACACTTTCTCCTCCTCCTTCATGCATAGGTTGTTCCTACAGAGAGTTTACAACTGGGTAGTTCATCGTAAATGCACTCAATCTTGGTGGATGTTATTAATAAGCCCCCCAAAAATCCATAGTACCAAGTCATTTCCAGTCCACCTTTATAATTAATAAAGGTAACCATCTGATCTCCATCTGCCGTATTTCTACATCTACTTCTCAGTATACTTGGAAGAAGGAATACAGGATGCAATCAAGAATCACACTGAAAACTCCATTACAATCCAAGCTACTGAGTGAAGTGTTTTAATTTCCACCATAAATGATTTAAGAAACATTAGGAAGTGAAAAATGGCATGAACAACAAGATTCTGTTAGACACTGTTTGTTGAGTGACTATAATTAAATTATATGCATGGAGAAAAGCAGCTGGTTTCCCCTTGCATATACTAAAAACTAAAAAAGAGTTCTCAGATTTTGTGGTCAGACTTGTGCCTTCATAAAAATATAGGTGAGAGGAGAAGGGCAATAGGGAGATTCAGAGAGTGCAGGCAAGTTGGTTACACCTTTCGAATAAGGGCAGAGAAAGGAATCAAGTTATTACTAGATGCCTTTAAGGAACCAAAACAATGTGATTTATTAAATATTCAGGAACTATAAAGACCAGCAAAACATTAAAGTTGAGAGAAGACTGAAAAAAAAAAACCATACTTCTGGATAGCAAGACAAGTTTCAGAACAGAAACATTCACAAATTAAAATGTCTTTAGCTAAAAAAAAAAATAGATGAGCTTCTTGAGTTTGTTGGTATTGAGCAGAGAAAAAGCTATTGTAGAAGAAATTATGGGAAGAGAGAAGCCTGAAAACCTTCCAAATAGTTTTCAATATTAAGTGCTCTTTTTCATCATGAAAAGTAATGAAAAGGTGAATATGAGCCATTACAAAAGGTATATTTTGAAGAGCTAGTTGAGACTGTTTTCCTCATATATTATGCCTTTCAAACCTCCCAAAATGATGTTGTTGGCAGCTTCCTTATAGACCTTGTTTATCGTGAAGAAAGTAAATTTTCCAGATAATAAGATTCAATCAATTTCTATTATAAGAATTATAATTTCTTTAGCTTGCAACCTTAGAAGAATACAACTTAAGCAATTTAAAGTAGTTAGATGTTATTAAAATGGTTCCCATATACAAGGATTTCTTTACCTTCTTTTACACTTAATGTCATAGAGCATTAACATTTTGTCTTCAACAGGATAGATTTCAAATAGAAACCAAGGTTTGAACACTCAACTATTAATATTCACTTAAGCATAGCACATGACACACAAAACAATTTCGCTTCAGAAAGGGCCTGGATATTCACTGGGGATCAGTTACTATAACTTAGCTGCTTATTAAAATGATGGTCTATATTAATAAAAAATGTATATATCAATGGAAATTGGCAGTTGTGTTACACATTTAAACTCCAGTTAATCTACACTAATATTTTTATCCCTGATTTGCATAAATAATCAGAATTCTCTTTCAGTATTGGTTATTAGTTGAAGAAAAGAGAGCTGACAGGGTATTCTTTCTTTCTTTATTGATTTTAGAGAAAGAGGAAAGGAGACGGAGAGAGAGATAGAAACATCAATGAGAGAGAACATTGATTGGCCACCTCCTGCATGCCCCCCACTGAGGATTGGGCCCACAACCTGGGCATGAGTCCTGATCGGGATGGGACCTCTTGGTGCATGGGTCAATGCTCAACCACTGAGCCACACCAGCTAGACAATTTAAAGATTACATTCCCTACATTCTTCTAATGCTGCTATATGATTCACTAAAGCAAAATCTGTATCCAACTTATAATAATTATTTTGAGATAAATAAAAATGGCTTTCATAATTCTGATTCATATTAAAAAATAGTTATTTAAAATAAGGAGTAATCGAATAGAATTACAATAGAAAATTCCCTTCTCATTTAAATTTATCTCACTTTTTAAAGAAATTTAAGTGGTCTGTGATTAAGTTGGCATTTGTGCAATTAGAAAATAAAAATTGAAAGAGAAAAAGGAAATAACTAATAAATTAACATAATTAAAATTAAATATCTCATTATGCAACCTAATAATAGGTTGCTATCTCCTTATCTCACATAGTTCAGAGGATCAATAACTAGCCAGTAAATAAAAAGAACGCCAGTATTAATTAATTTTTTATAATTCCAAATATGTTATGAAATACGTAGGGTACATATAACATAGATACTCATTTCATAATTCCATCTCCAGTTTTTGAAATATTATCTTCTAAATTTCGCTTTGTTGATGTTAATCCTCATCCAAGTATATTTTCCCCTAGTTTTTTTTTTTTTCTTCAGAGAGTGAAAGGGAAGAAGAGAGAGACAGAGAGGGAAACATCAATGTGTGAGAGAAACATCAATTGGTTGCCTCCTGCACATGCCCCAACCTGGGGCCGGGGATTGAACCTGCAACCCAAGTACATGCCCTTTACGGGGAATCGACCCTGCAACCCATTGATGTGCGGGTCAACACTATTAAGCACTGAGCCACACCAGGCAGGACTGTCTTCCAAATCTTATAGTGAGATTATGTGTGGGAGATTAATCTGACATTTTTGTAATTCATTTAAGAGATATTTATTATTTCTAGATCCTCTTCTATATTTACTTTTAAAATGCTTGTTTGCAAATAACAGAACCCCAGTTTGAATAATCTGTTGGGAGTTACTGAGTGTGTCCTTAAATAAAAGGAAGAACCTATTGATCATGACTGAGCCATGTGTATAAGTTGATTGGTAGACAGAGAAAATAGGCCTGCAAAGAGAGGAGAAAAACAGGCATGCAGAGAAAAACCTACTCCCCATTCTTACTTATTGCAGCTTCAGCAAATGAAGAGAAACAGACTTTCTGTGTTGACTACAAAAGATGTGGGGGAGAGAGAAGACTCACATGCTCAACCTTCATTAGATGCCCACTCTAAGTAAGAGAAGACTATATGATTGAAATACACACATTATATGGCTAGTGGGAAAAGGAGTTGAAGTTGGCAAGATGGGCAGGACAGACTATCTCATAGACAAACACCATGCTGGGAAAGTACATGGTAACTATACAGAACTAGCAAGGGATTCCACTTGGTTGAGTAACAGGTTAACAACCTAGGGAAAAAAGAGGCTGGAATGACTAACGGTGAAGGTTCATTCTGGATTATTTTATATAGATTGAATCACATGAAAAGATATTTTAGATTAAAAAGATCAAATACCAGTCCTTTCATATGAAACAGACATGTCTGTGGTTCACAAATGGATGAATATTTGTAATTTTATAAGTTTCAAGGTCTTACGTAGAAAGCACTGGGTAAACACTACTACTGAAAAGAAAGAGCAACAGGATCAAATAGGGTAGGAAGTGAAAGAGAACAGAATGTGATCATAATGGGAAAGTAGAAACAACTCTTGCTTACTGATTGACCACTCTGTACCAGGCATTACACTTTATGTTAAGGAACCTCTTAGCTTGTGCCTTCATTAAAAAAAAGTTTGATTCCTACAGGGCTTTAAAAGGAAAAGCAATTAGGTTAGGCCTGATTACAATATGAATAGTTCAGAGCCTACTATTTCACATCTAGGTTTTAAATCTAAAGTTATTTCAATTTTTAAAATGTTTTAAAAAATAGTCAAGCCTGGATTCATAGACCATGCCTTCCACTGCTATAGTGTATGACCCTGTACAAATCATGACTTAGATTTCCTCATTTGTAAAATAAAAATATAGTCATACTACCTGCTTCATAAGGATTCTGATGATAAACTGTAATAACACTATATTCTTATAAAGCCATTAATAACTATAATTATCATTATTTTGGAGATAACTACTGTGAAGGAAACAAACATAAATGAACACTTGTTGAGCACTATTTTAATGATATATTGTAAATGAAAAATAAATGGGCATGGATTTTTATATAACTGAGTAATCAGCAACCTGCAATATAAGAAAACTGAGGTTTTATCATTATGTTTTATACCCATGACTATGGCTTTCTTACCATCAATATCTTCATAAGATGAATATGAACGTTGTTTTGGAACCACTGTAAAATCTGATTCATTTAATATAGGATTTTCTCCCAAAAATTCACCAGTTACTGTGATTTCCACCTCCTTTTCTATCCGTTTCTTGGCCTGAGATTTTATGACACCTACGAGAAGGAATTATTTCCAGTTAATTTGACTATTAGGTTATATGATCATTCTTCAGCTAGAAGAAAATAAATGATTAAATTATGTCATGAAAAATAAAAGTTTCTTTAGCATACTTTGACTTTACATTGTGTCTGTCATTCACACACACACACACACACTCACACAGTATCCATATACACTGACATTTTGTAATAAAATGATTATTAAATAATATATAAAAATAGCATGACAATTCGGTAATTGAATTAGGTAATTGAAGATTGTACTAGGATATAGAAATCTTATTCAGAAACTGACCTAGTTATATCAATAATTTAACTGGTGGTCAACACATGAATTTTTCAGCTATCTATATGTTCATTGCTGTAAACACCAAACTCTACTTATATAATTATACTATAACAAATACCTTCAAATAATTTAAAAAGTGAGTTATGTAACCTTTATTTTGTAACAATTTTAAAATAGTTCCTACTATATTATTTATTTATATGCACCTTAAAATTGCTTTAAACTACTTTGATTTTCATTTGTTAATTGCTTTTAAATTTACAAAATACACCATTAACAGTTAAAAATAAAATTGTAATAAATTATTTAAAATTAATATTAAAATGTGACTATATTGTAATGTATAGCATAAAAATTTATGTATTTAGCCCTGGCTGGGTGGCTCAGTTGGTTGGAGCATTGTCCCATACACCAGAAAGATTGCAGGTTCAATTCCAGGTCAGGGCACATACCAATGTTACGGGTTCTATCTCTGGTTGGAGCTCACACAGGAGGCAACTTATTGATGTTTCTCTCTTACATCAATGTCTTTCTGTCTCTCCTTCTCTCCCCCCACCTCTCTAAACATCAGTGAAAACATATCTTCAGGTGAGGATTTTAAAAAATATACTTTAGATATTCATATATATATATATATATAATTACAATATTTTCTTACATCGAGTACAGAAGTGTCAGTGATCTTGTGAGAAACCAAAATATTGTTTTTATATGACTACTAATTATATAAAGGAGTATTAATGTATGTCTCTGGCATTAGCTCGAGATTACATTATGGGGCCACGTATACTTTAGTCCATATAAATAAGAATAGTATTTCTCTAAAATATATTAAATGTTATATTTTTATCACTTCAGATGAATACAGGACATAAATTGAATATAAGAAATAAAAATGGAACTATAATGTTAAAAAAGCTTTTGAAATGTATTAAGCTATGCTTTTGTGGCATCAATAATATATTCCCCTAGACTGCAAAATTGGATAATGTCCTCAGATGTATGCGATTTCACAATACATACCACATTTCAGTGTAAATGTTTAAAATAAATGTATTTTTAATTTAAAATTTTACAGGTTGATAATCAACATTTTAGACTTAAAATAAATATGAAATGTACAATAAGGGTACAAAGTTAAATGTAAATTAAGAGGGATGCAATGGCTGAGGAAAATGTACAAGCTTTTCTGGTTATCATTCACTTCAGTCTTAAAGCATTAGGTTGGAAATTACTGTGATCAAATTTACAATTAGTATCATGTCACTGGTCTTGTCATATTAAGTCCTTAGGAAATTAGTGTCCTGACAATGTAAGAATCACGCAATCACAGTGGATTCACATTCCATTGTATTTCCACTGTGACAGGTAGTGGAGTCCTTTTCTAATTATCTGCCCTAGTGGACAGGACCAGATAAGAATGCAAAGAGAGAATAAAACAGAACAACAAAAGTACCCTGGGATTAAGAGTAACCTGGGTGATAGGTACATGAAAAAGAAAATAAACAAACATTGATGATAAAACAGTTGAGTTGGGAAAGCAATAGGTTATCTCTAATGTGTTCTTAAGAATGAAGAATAAACTGTACAGAAAGTAAATAATATATATTTATAAAATTATACCAATTTGTTTCCCAAGAGCATCTGTAGATAAAAATGATTACTAGAATAGGTTTTAGACTTTTGTAAAAATGATTTAATAACTAGCACACAATCTGTTTCCGAACACTGATGCTATTATTGGGTTGGGCTAATGCAACATAGGCTAATTAAAGAACTCACGTTTAATTTAAAAATAGAATAATAACCAAGTGATATGACTGGATAAAAAGTGTCTCTATGTTTCTGGAGCATATTTAATTTTCATTGAAGGAAACTGTACAAAAATTATGTTTATGCTCTCATAGGCTTTGCTTTAGATTGAAAAAAAAGTCTTTAAATCGTCAATCTGGTTTAAATAAAACTGCATCTACATAGACACAAGCAACACTGTTAGAATTCCAAGAAAATGATGTCTAGGCTTTCTTATATCACATAGATCACATGCCTGTACTACAAATTTTAAATTGTTTAGCTCTTTGGAAAGTATAGAGACAACTATCTTTTAGAAAGAAACAAACATTTTGACATGTTTGTGAAACATCTGAAGATAATTTGGTATATTTGAAATATTTATATGTATTGATAATTTTTAACTCAAAAGTAAACACACCAAGTAAAACAAATGGCATTTATTGTCAAGGGTACTTCTAGATATGTAGATTTTTATTCCAGATAAAATGAAACTCCATAAGGAAATATATAACCTGGCCTTCCAATGTATTAGGGAAAATGCTGTTACTCACAAGCAAAACTTATTTTTATTTCTTTCTAAGTTTGGTAACATAATTTATGTCAGTAAAGAACTAACTCTTTTTCACTAGCAAAAATTGGTACTGGAGGAAGGAAAAAAATACAAAATTTCAAGACTTTTTTTCAGCTCATCTGAGTTGCTCAAGGGTGAGATCCAAAATAACTATCCCTTTGCTGTGCAGAGCAACTCCGTGCTTCTTAGTTATAAAGAACTATGCCTAGAGCCTGGTAAGAGACTGGGATACTAAATTTTGCTTTATGCCTACCTAATAGGCATTAATTTCTTAGGTTAATCTTCGGAGGCAAATGGGAAAAGCAAGGAATGTGGAAAACATGAGAAGAATACTGAGGAAAGAGAACAAACAGAAACTTGAGAAAAGTCCGGATCATGTGGAGGGAAAAAGAGGGTCATTGAGAAAAAGAAAGGCATTTCTAAAGTATAGATTTTATGTTGTGTGTATGATAGCAAAGCTAACCTCCTGGAGAACTTCAGTTTTTCTTACTAGTTTTTGGAGACCATCATAAAAGTTTGTGTCTGGGAAAACTAAGAACAGAGGGATAGGATAGTTCTTGGATAAGATTTCAAATTACACAGAAGCTGGAATATGGTGATTAAATGTGACAGGAGAACCTAAGTTCCTGGGACTCTTATAGATCTAGTGCAGGTCTTTGAGTGCCTCACAGAACGAGATAAAGGGGCCTAAAGTTAATGTTATTTTGATCTTAGCTGATTTGTAGTTTTCACCAACAGGAAGAACAACGGGAAATGGTGTGGTTTTGTGTACATATCATTGGACTCATTGTTAGAACCGGATTCAGCCCTAGCACTCACACTAATAGGGCTGCTCATTTCACAACTTACTTTCTCTGGACCTCGACCTTCTTACTTGTACAAAGAAAAGACGGGATGACATGGCCTCTAAATAACCTCCAAATCCTAGTGTTTTCTTTTCTTTTTTCTTTCTTTATTGATTTTAAAGAGAGAGGAAGGGAGAGGGAGATAGAGATGAAAACATCTCTAGAGATACAAATGTGAGAGAGAACATCGATTGGCCACCTCCTGCATGCCCCCCCACTGGGGATTTGGCCCACAACCTGGGCATGTGCCCTGATTGGAAATCGAACCAGCAACCTCTTGGTGCTTGGGTCAACACTCACCCACTGAGCCACACTGGCCAGTCTAAATCCTAGTGTTTTCTGACACTAAAATATACCTACTTGGAGGGTATTCTTCATGTTTTGCCTGTGGGAGTCCAAGGATAGGGTATATCCATCGTATTGCTTGGATTTCTCCACAGTCTACTCCTATAATTCTAATGAGAAATTAAATTAAGAGTGAACAAAAAACATAAACACTTTCAATATTAGCATAAAAGAGCATATTCTCTTTAACCTAATGGTATTTGAGCAAACCTTGTGAATTTAAACTTTGGCAGAAAGAAACAAAAATAAAATACAAAATATTTTCAGCAAATGTTCATTTCATAAATATTTTAAGCAAATCCTGGGAAAGTATCACAAATAAAAATGAAATACAACCATTATGAGAAGTAAGTTAAAATTGAAGAACACTTCCCCCTACATTTATTTATTTTTATCCTCACCTGAGGACATTTTTTCATTTATCTTCAGATAGAGCAGGAAGGAGAGAGGGAGGAAGAGAGAGAGAGAAACACCGATATGAGAGAGAAACATCAAGTGGTTGCCACCCACATGACCCCAACTGGGGCCGGAGACAAACTGCAACCAGGGTACGTGCCCTTAGCGGGAACCGAACCCGGCCATTGTCTGGTCCATGGGCTGATGCTCTAACTGCTGAGCCAAACTGGCCAAGGCTCCCCCTACATTTAAAGCTTGGTCTAGGTATTTGCCAATGTGACTAACTTGTGATTACTCAGAGGTAATACAGTTCCCATGGGTTATATTCTAAACTGGACATGCAAAGCACACACAGAAAAGTGCCATTAAATACGGGACTTCAGCAAGTGGTGAGTAATTTACTTCTGGGGTACCAGTGAAAAGAAAGAGGGCATTTCTCAAAATATTTTAAGTCCAGAGAAAGAGTGAAAATACCAAAATAGCGGCAGAGTGAATGGAAGCTACACAGACCATCTCCTAGGACCAAACTGGAATTACAACGAAAATTAAGACAAATCGTCAGGAAAAGGCAACAAAAAAGCAGCTTGGAGGACCACATAACCAGGGACAATGACTCAATCCTGGTAGGCTTGCAGAGACGCGAAAGGGGGGCTCGGAGCCCACTGTCAGCAGCGGCCTTAGCTGTGAGCAGCAGTCTGGGCTGTGAGCAGCGCCCTCAGGTTAAACTCCCAAGTGGCTCCACAGTACAGAGCCACTACAGAGGCTAAAATAGCCACAACCACCTACCTTGGGCTCAGGCAGAGGGAGGGCAGACTGGACTGGAACTGTGTGGGGATACTTGGGATTTGGAGGACGCTCAGAGCTTTTGCTGAGTTGCGGCCATGCAGGAATATGGTCATCTTACTCCTTCTCAGGGCTCTCAGGAGAGGTGGTGACCCCTCCCTCAGAGATTCAACCCAACCAGGTAGCCATTGAAATGCTAATTGAGGCCCATTAGCAACCAGAATCTGCCCCACCCTCAGGAAATCCCCTTACTCTGAGCACCTCAGGGAGTTTTTCATTCAACTGAGAAGCCAAGGTTCTCAGGTAACCACTACTGATAGTCTCCAGGCAAAAAGCTAGAGGACAACTATACATTTCCCTGGGCTAGCAATTCTAACCAGGAAAGTAAGACTTGACAGTGGTGTTTAACACGGGTCCTCCCTGGGGCATCCAAACCCAGGAGAAGGAGCCACAAAGAGCAGAACACCAACACCCATAGGGTAAATTTGGCACGATCCAAAGCCCACTGTGATACCCAAAATGGTGACACACAGAAACAAAAGCCAAATGAAAGAACAACAGACCTCTACTGAAGATGAGATAAATGAAATGCAGTTAAGCAAGTTAACAGAACTAGAATTCAGAGCCATGATCTAGAGGAAGCTCAACAGCATGTGTAAGGACATGAGCACCATGAGTAAAGACATAGAACTATTGAAAATCAACCAGTTGGAAATTAAAAACCACCAAGAAGATATGAAGAATGACATATCAGAAACAAAGAATACACTCGAAGGTCTAAATAGCAAAGTAGAGGAAGCTGAGTACCAGATTAGTAAATTAGAAGATAGTGTAGAAAAAAAATCAACCAATCAGAAAACCAAAAGGAAAAAATAATTAAAAAACAGGAAGACAGCTTAAGAGAACTGTGGGACAACTGGAAACGTAATAACATTTGCATCATAGGAGTCCCCGAAGAAGAAGAAAATGAGCAAGGGTTAGAGAATATATTTGAAGAAATAGTGACAGAAAACTTCCCAAATTTGGTGAAGGAAGAAGGCTTTCAAGTTCAAGAAGCACAGAGAGCCCCAAGTAAGAACCCAAACAGGCCCACACCCAGACACATAGTAATCAAAATGCCAAAAATTAAAGACAAAGAGAGAATCCTAAAAGCAGCAAGAGATAAGGAAACCCCATAAGGCTCTCAGCTGACTTCTCAACAGAAACACTACAGGCCAGAAGGGAATGGCATGAGGTAATCAAGGTCATGAAAAACAAGGATCTGAATCCAAGACTACTCTATACAGCAAGGCTATCACTCAAAATAGAAGGTCAAATAAAGAGCTTCCCAGACTAAAAAAAAAAAAAAAAAGGCTAAGGGAATATATTAGAACCAAACCAGCACTGCAGGAAATGATAAAAGGACTGCTGTAATTAGCAGAAGAAATAGGGGAAAAAAAACAACCACACTAAACAAAAATGGCAATAAATAAGTACATATCAATAATCACCTTAAATGTAAATGGACTGAATGCTCCAATAAAAAAAAAACCAGAGTAGTTGATTGGATAAGAAAGCATGACTCGTCTATATGTTGTTTACAAGAGACCCACCTCACAACAAAAGACTCACATAGGTTGAAAGTGAAGGAATGGAAAAATATCTTCCAAGCAAATGGAAAGGAAAAACAAAAGCTGGGGTAGCAATATTCATATCTGATAAAAATAGATTTCAAAATGAAGGCCATAACTAGAGATAAAGAAGGCAACTACATAATATTGCAAGGATCTATCCAACAGGAAGATATAACCTTGATAAACATATATGCACCCAATATAGGAGCACCGAAATATATTAAAAATCTTCTGGAAGACTTCAAACGAGAAATCGATAGCAATATAATCATAGCAGGGGACTTCAACACCCTGCTGACATCACTGGATAAATCCTCTAGAAAAAAATTAGCAAGGAAACAGGGACTCTAAATGAAGCACTAGACCAAATGGATTTAATAGATATCTACAGAGAATTACACCCCAAAACTACAGAATTTACATTCTTCTCAAGTGCACATGGGACATTCTCAAAGATAGACCACATGTTAGGACACAAACTAAGTCTCTACAAGTTCAAGAAGACTGAAATCATATCAAGCATCTTCTCAGATCACAATGGCATGCAACTAGAAATCAATTGCAAGAAGAACATAGAAAGACATTTGAACACATGGAAGCTAAATAGTATGTTATTAAACAACGAATGGGACAATGAGGAGATCAAGGAAGAAATTAAAAACTTCCTGGAATCCAATGAAAATGAACACACAACAACACAAAACCTATGGGATAGAGTGAAAGCAGTTCTGAGAGGGAAGTTCATGGCACTACAGACCTTCCTCAAGAAACAAGAAAAATCTCTAACAAACTACCTAACCTCACAACTTAAAGAACTAGAAAGCAAACAGAAAGAAAACCATAGAGCAAGTAGAAGGAAGGAAATAGTAAAGATCAGAGCAGAAATAAATGACATAGAGACCAACAAAAACAATTCAAAGGATCAATGAAACAAAGAGCTGGTTTTTCGAAAAGATAAACAAGATTGATAGACCCTTAGCTAGACTCACCAAGAAACAAAGAGAAAGAACCCAAATACAGAAAATCAGAAATAAAAGCAGAGAAGTAACAACTGATATCACAGAAATACAGAAGATTGTTAACAACTACTATGAACAATTATATGGCAACAAATTCGACAATCTAAGCAAAATGGACAAATTTCTAGAAACACATAGTCTCCCAAAACTGGACCGGGAAGAGACAGAAAACTTGAACAGACCCATAACAGCAGAAGAAACTGAAGATGTAATCAAGACTCTCCCAGCAAACAAAAGCCCAGGCCTGGATGGCTTCACCGGGGAGTTTTACCGAACATTCAAAAAAGAACTAACACCCATTCTCCTCAAACTATTTCAAAAAATTCAAGAAGAAGGAAGACTTCAGAACTCATTTTATGAGGCCAGCATAATTCTAATTCCAAAACCAGAAAAAGAAAGAAAACTACAGGCCAACATCCCTAATGCACATAGATGCCAAAATCCTTAACAAAATGCTGGCAAATCGAATCCAGCAACACATCAAAAAAATTATTCACCATGACTAAGTGGGATTCATCCCAGGGGTGCAAGGCTGGTACATTATTCGCAAATCAATAAATGTGATACACCACATAAACAAAATGAAGAATAAAAACCACATGATCATATCAATAGATTCCTAAAAAGCCTTTGACAAAATCCAGCATCCATTTCTATTAAAAATGCTCAGCAATGTGGGAATAGAGGGTTCATATCTAAACAAAATAAAGGCCATATATGAAAGACCTACAGCCAACATCATACTCAATGGGCAAAAACTAAAAGGATTTCCTTAAGAACAGGAACAAGACAAGCATGCCCACTTTTGCCACTCTTATTTAACATAGTACTGGAAGTCTTAGCCACAGCAATCAGGCAGGAAGAAAAAAATAAAAGGAATCCAAATTGGAAAGGAGGAAGTGAAACTGTCATTATTCGCAGATGACATGATACTATACGTAGAAAACCCCAAAGACTCCATCAAAAATTTACTAGACTTAATAAATGAATTTGGCAAAGTATTAGGATACAAAATTGTCAAGAAATCGATAGCATTCTTATACACCAATGATGAACTCACAGAAAGAGAAACTAAAAATACAATCCCATTTACCATTGCGACAAAAAAAATTAAGATACCTAGGAATACACTTAACCAAAGAAATAAAGGACCTAGTCACAGAAAACTACAGGTCATTGAAAAAAGAAATAGAGGAAGATATTAAAAAGTGGAAACACATACCTTGTTCATGGATGGGAACAATTAACATCATTAAAATGTCCATACTATCCAAAGCAATCTATAGATTCAATGCAATCCCCATCAAAATACCAACAACATACTTAACAGAACTAGAACAAATACTTCAAAAGTTCACATGGAAGCAAAAAAAAGACCCCGAATAGCCATAGCAATCTTGAAAAAGAAGAACAAAGTAGGAGGGATCACATTACCAGATTTCAGGTTATGCTACAAAGCCACTGTAATCAAAATCGCCTGGTACTGGCACAAGAACAGGCATATAGACCAGTGGAACAGAACAGAGACCCAGAAATGGACCCAAGGCAATATGCTCAATTAATATTTGACAAAGGTGGCAAGCGCATACAGTGGAGTAAAGACAGCCTCTTTAATAAATGGTGTTGGGACAATTGGACAGCTACATGCAAAAAAATGAAACTAGACCATCGACTAACACTGTATACAAGAATAAACTCAACATGGATAAAAGACTTAAATGTGACTCATGAATCCATAAAAATCCTAGAAGAAAATGTAGGCAACAAAATTTCAGATATCACACACAGCAGAATTTTCACTGATACATCACCTAAGGCAACAGAAACAAAGGAGGAAATGGACACATGGGACTACATCAAACTAAAAAGCTTCTGCACAGCAAAATATACAATCATTAAAATGGAAAGGCAACCCATTGTATGGGAGAACATAATTGCCAATGATATATCAGATAAGGGGTTAATTTCCAATATATATAGAGTGCTCATGCAACTCAACAAAAGGAAGACAAAGAACCCAATTAAAAAATGGGCAGAGTTGCTGAATAGACACCTCTCCAAACATGCCATACAAATGGCCAAGAGACATATGAAGAAATGCTCAACATCACTAATCATCAGAGAGATGCAAATTAAAACAACAATGAGGTATCACCTCACACCTGTCAGAATGGCCGCCATCAACAAATCATCAAACAAGTGTTGGCGAGGGTGTGGAGAAAAGTGGACTCTAGTACACTGCTGATGGGAATGCAGACTGGTGCAGCCACTATGGAAAACAATATGGTGTCACCTCAAAAAATTAAAAATTGAACTTGCATTTGACCCAGTGATCCCACTTCTAGGAATATACCCTAAGAAGCCTGAAACACCAATCAGAAATAATATATGTACCCCCATGTTCGTAGCAGCACTATTTACAATAGCTAAGATCTGGAAACAGCCCAAATGTCCATCAGTAGACGAATGGATAAAAAAGCAATGGTACATATACACAATGGAGTACTATGCAGCTGTAAGAAAGAAAGATCTCTTATCCTTTGAGACGACATGGATGGACCCGAAAAGTGTCATCCTAAGCGAAACAAGCCAAACAGAGAAAGACACGTTTTATATGATCTCACTTATTTGTGGAATATAATGAGCATAATAGTCTGAGGAATGGGGTAGTCCCAGAGACGTGGAAGTGGGGTACAGACTGAGTATCCCCAGAAGAGGGTGTCAGGGGAGAGATAAACCACAGAACTTATATGCATGACCAAGGGACATGGACAACAAACCTGGTGAGAGGACGGGGAGGGAGGAATTAGTGGGGGAAAAAAGAGAAATATCTGTAACAAAAATAAATAAATTAAATTTAAAAAACCACCTTCTTTTATCTTGTATTTAAGAAAAATTCATTGATATTGTACGTACATGCTAATTCTTATTAGAAATAAAAACTGTCAATTTTTTTGAAAAAAAAAAAAAAAAGTAAGTCCATTATACGCCATCAGGACAGCAATACTAGAAACATGGTTCTTATCATTGTTGAAAACTGGCTTTTCTTGATAAAAATAAAACATAAGTCATGGCATGTTACCTGTGTGACAGCACAAAAACCCCACACTTAAAATTGCTTCATGCTTGTTTAACCACTAGTGGACCTGTCTTAAAATTATTAATCATTTTTTAACAAAGGCCCCTCATTTTTATTTTTACACTGTGACCCACAAATCATGTAGGCATTCTCAACTGCAGGAGTGATGAAAAGCTTGGCAGAATGCACCAAACAAACGATTTCTTTTCAAATATGGAAAATACGTATGTACACATAGGGGAAAGTAAGAATTTCTTTTTAATTCAGATTTTTAAACCATTATTTAATTAGACTACAACAGCAGAGAAAATATTTAAATTTTTCATCATTATTGGAGTTTGCCTAAATTTCAGCTAAGTACAGAGGGTACATGAACCTGCCTTCTGGCAATAAAACAGTTTCCTGTAGTCATGGGAGAGGTTCATCAGGATGTCACATCACCTGGTACCGTGCCATCATTACTAGGTGAATACCAGCATTAGAAGTCTTATACTTTGCCCTGACAAGTTGTTTTAGGTGGTTCTCCAGATATGGGTTATTTATTGTCTTAGCAGTAACTACTTTCTCAGTAAAAAAGGAGGCCTTTGCATGTCTATGACTCTGATTCATTGATATGATTCTTAAGATTTACTTGTTTTTCACTCTGAACCACATCAGTAATAATACATACTATACCCATTTAACAAATACATTTCCCTCCTCTGAAAATATAAATTTCTACACATTTGAGAATATCAAATCATAAACTTCACTTTGCATGCCATGTAAAAGAAACTGATCATATCAGTGGCAGACAAAATAAAATCAATATCTTCATTTGAATGTTACCTTTTCATCTCTGGTGTCAATTCATCAAAATTGTCAATAGTCCAGTTTTTTCCACTTGCCCTCCTCACTTGAACAACGGCCATCGTTTTCCTTAATTTCATAACTTTGGGAACAAAGCACACTGGGATAGAAATAACCCCTCTAGGAGGCAATGCAATGTCTGTAAAAAATTTTTAAAAAAGAATAATTTTTTACTTGGTAAAAATTCTAAGAGCACAAAGTAACCTCCTATTCCATTACTAATAATCAGTTTTTCAAGATTATTTCTGAACAACAAAAATACATTATGCAAAATTATAAGCGTACATTAGTGGCTTCAGTAATTTTCCTCAAATGTCATCAACCCTATTAAAAATACATTTTAGGCCCTAGCCAGGTAGTTCAGTTGGTTAGAGAGTCATCCCAATATACCAAGGTTGTGGGTTTGATCCCTGGTCACAGCACGAAGAAGAAACAACCAATGAATGCATAAATAAGTGGAACAACAAATCTCTCTCTCAATCAATCAGTTAAAAAAAAAAATACATTTTATCCTGAGACAAGGTTTTCCAGAAGAGGCTGGAGACCTGAGGAAATGTTAAAAGTGATGGCTTGGGTTTCTCTGAGTGATAAAGGAACATAAAACCCATGAGTATAGTATTTTCAAGTCTTATTACATTTTGCAAAAGACAAAGTATAGCAATTTTTGACCCTTTAATTCATGGGTATTTCTTCCTAGACCATAACAGTCCAAGATTCTCCTTGAAGCCCCCAAATTGCTACACCAGTAAACTGTTCATTTATTTAACTGATGCCACAAAGAAAGCCAAAGCTTATTTGTGAAAGAAAGGGGCATCTGCTCCAGGTTATAAAGACCAGAAGACAGCCCTGGCCAGTTTGGCTCAGCGGTTAGAGTGTCGGCCTGTGGTCCGGAGAGACCCGGGTTTGGTTCCCGCTAAGGGCATGTACTTCGGTTGCAGTCTGTCCCCGGCCCTGGTTGGTCGTGCAGGTGGCAGCCACTCGATGTGTCCCTTCACGTCGATGTTTCTCTCTCTCTCTCCCTTCCTCTCTCTCCCTCCCATTCTATCTGTACAAAAAATGGAAAAATACCCTCGGGTGAGGATTAAAAAAAAAAAAAGACCAGAAGACAGAAAAACTGACAGCATTTTCTTGCATTCTAATGAATTAGAATTTTTCAATCTTTACTTTGCATAAGAACCACCTGTGAAACTTGTTAGACATGGAGCTTGCTGAGCTCCACATTTAGAGATTCTGATATATTCAGTCTGGGCTGTAGCCTAGGAAGCTGCATGTTTAAGTAGCAGCTCATAGTATACAGAAGTAGATGGTCATGGGACTAGACTTTGAAAACAAACTCTACATGTTGGACAAGTACTAAAAGGTTGGAAGAGTGGTGAGCTTTTGGTCATTTGTAACAGTGAGGGTTTCCAAGTGATGGATATCTTCCTGTATTGTGAGCAGTAACAGCATTTCTTTACAAAAAAATAAGGGATACTGACTATATTCTCTTTCTTTTTTAAATTCTTTGTTATGCCCTGGCCGGTTTGGCTCAGCAGTTAGAGCGTCGGCCTGCAGTCCCGAGAGACCCGGGTTCGGTTCCCGCTAAGGGCATGTACCTCGGTTGCAGTTTGTCCCCGGCCCTGGTCGGTCGTGCGGGTGGCAGCCACTCGATGTGTCCCTTTCACATTGATGTTTCTCTCTCTCTCTCTGTTCTTCTCTCTCCCTCCCACTCTACCTGAACAAAAAATGGAAAAATGTCCTCCGGTGAGGATTAAAAAAAAAAAAAAAATTCTTTGTTATAAAATCAATGATATTCACAGCCATTTTATCTCAGATGAGAATATTGTACTAAAGTATTAAGAACATCAAGAAAGAAAATAGAAAACTGCCCCTCTCCAAAACAGCTCAAGTCAAAACTTTTATAAATTTTCAAATCTTATTCTTTCAGGAAATGAAAATGTTCTAATGTTTAATATTATAGTTAATAATTAATTAATATGATTATGAGGTAGTATTTATTGAGTACTGACTATATGTTAGGCTGAGTGCTAAGCATTTTTCACACAATATCTCATTTCATTCTCAGGAAATCACTATAAATTAAATACGATTATGTCTCTCCTTTCAGAGCTGGAGAAATTGACACAATTTGGTTAACTTATCCAAAGTCTCAGTGAAAGATTATATTGTTTGCTAAGCTATCTAAACAATGTGCTATTTTCAACTTTGTCTTTATGAGCTCTATATTTTTAGGGAATCATTGATTCAAATGAATTAAAACAGCAAGAGCTGACTCGACTAAACCATCATGCATCCCCAAGGAAATCAAGTTTAGAAATTATCATTTACCCTAACAAAATTATACTATCACTGAAATTAGATTATATGATGACTAAAAATAAACCTAGACATTTAGATGGTTTAAGGAGTCCAGAAAAATACACAAAAGGGAAATTTATTGCTAACACCATGCTTTTTTATAACATTTGAGTTGAAAGCATGGAAAGATCATGCTATGTCACATAAGGCCACTTAATTAACAATCTAGTAGCCTCTTTATAGCTGTACCTGTTTAACCAGACTAAAAAGAACTATTCACTAATGGATTTATGACAAGTTTCTTTAACTCTTATTATTTGCTTGAATAGTATGAATCACTATACTGTTAACTTACAAGAAATCATTGAAATTTAGCAATGAAAAAAAATTTGAGAATTTATCAAATTCATTTTGTGTCTCACCATTGAGTTTTATTTCCTGTGATTTTCCCAATGTCCTTTGCAACAGTTTGAGTAGAGACAAGAAGGCTGTCCTCATTTCTATCTTATAAAGAATCTATCCATGTTTTCTTCTAATACCTACATGATTTCATTTTTGTAGTTAAATATTTAATTGATAAGTAATTTATCCATATACATGGAATGAAGAATATATTCAATGTTATGAATTTTTATATGGAACTAGTAATCCAAAAACCACTTATTTAAAAGTTAACTGATTTGAACTGCTGCCTTCATGGCATTCCCATACGTATTTTGGTCTTTGTCTGGATTCCCTAGATTTCTTTGGTCTTTCTTTCTCTTCATGTGCAGGTAACACATTAATTATAGGTGCTTTAGTTTCTAGCAGGACTAACCGCCTTCTCTTTCAGCTCTTTTTTTTTTTTTTTTTTTCAGCTCATTTTTTTTTTTTAAGAATTTTTCTAAATTTGGAAGTGAATGAGGTGGCAAATAGTACTTCGAATGGGATCACCCTACATTTATACTTTAGAGATAATTGATGATCCATTCATGATCTATCCAAAAGCAATAGTGTAGCCTTTATTTTATTGTTCTCACTTCAGCATTATTTCAGGTGCTTCTAGATCCTTGAGATAAGTTTTCAGCCAGTCTTAGTTTTCAGTGTTACTAGAGGATTTTTCCAGCATCTTCATAAGTGTTTAGCAGGAAGCTGGGAAAAACCACATCAGTTGTTTCTATCTGCTGACTGGGAAATCTAGCTAGTATGATGATTACTATATTCATTAGGTAATACAATCTAATAAAACATATTCTAAACTCAAAACATTTTCTGAGCTAATCTCTTTCTGTTTTATTACATTTCCATACAGTAACTATCAAACTACAGATATATTAGCTTTGTGATGTTATAGTTATTATTCTTGAAGTTCAAAATAAGCATCTGAGGGGAAATATACACATTTTATGTATGTATTTTATGAGAGGTATACATTATAGAATGTTTGAAATCCTGTAACACTTCATCTTTAGTATCAATAAATACTGAAAAGAGTGACATTCATTGTATTATTATTATTATTAGTTTTGCTTTTGAAATCTCCTATGGCCTAGTTAGACTGAGCATTCAAATTTTATTCACTGTATTTTAAAACTGCTATTTTGATTGCTATTTTGATTAAAGGTGTTAGAAATATTTATGCATTGATCTATTTGGTATACAGAAATTGTATGATGCTTTAATGGCTATGAGGTTTCCTGCCTTCTTAGAAGAATATCTTCTCAAGAGAGTAAAGTGAATATATCTTCATTTTAGTAACGAAAGTATTTCATCCAGAAATATTTGTTTTTAATCACTTTACTGCTATTATATTACTGCTCCCCATAGCATAATTTTTAATATTTAGCATGGCATTAGAAATGGCCCATGTCAGGCAATCAAAGAGATACTAAGAAAGATACTAGCACCCTAAGGCATGCTATTGTTTCTGTTATAGTGGTTTATTTAATAAAAATAAAAGTTTTTATTTTTAAATCATCAAGCCATCAAAAACATGACTTTTCATTAACCATTTTCACAAATGAAATCTATGCACTTTCTACTTGAATATTCTTATTTTTAATAACTGATTTTTTGGAAAACAATCTTTAAATTATGACTAAAAATGGAACAGAATAACTAATGTGGTGGTTTGGAGAAGAGTCCATTCATTGATTTTTTGGAGATACTATGGGGCTGAATTATGTCCCTCCCACCCAATTCATATCTTGAACCCCTAATTGTCAGTATCTCCAATTATAGTTGTATTTGGAGATAAGGTGTTTTCAAGAGTTGGCAAGAGGTGGTTAAGTTGAAATAGGACTATTAGGGTGAAACCTTAATCCATTTGACTAGTGTCCTTATAAGAAGAAAAAACTTGGCCCTAGACAATTTGGCCTGCAGACCAATGAGTCATGGGTTTGATTCCAGTCAAGGGCATGTACCTTGGTTGTAGTTCATCCCTGGCCTGGTCAGGGTCATGCGGGAGGCGACTGGTTGATGTGTCTCTTTCACATTGATGTTTCTCTCTCTCTCTCCCCCTCTCTCCCTCCCTCCTACTCTATCTGAAATAAATGGAAAAATATCCTTGGGTAAAGATTTAAAAAAAAGAAGAAGAAAAAAGTTGGACATAGACATTCACTAGAGATGTGCTCACAAAACAGAACGAAAGAGCATATGAGTACATAGTGAAAAGGTAGCCATATACAAACCAAGAAGAGACACCTCAGGAGAATCCAAATCTCCTAGTCTTTTTCTCTTAGACTTCTAGTCTCCAGAATTTGAAAATATAAATTTGTTTAAGGCACCAGTCTAGTATTTTGTTATTGCAGCCTTAGCAAACTAATACAAGAAATTATCTTTTCTTTCATGTTATCTCAGAGG